AGACTTCGACTTTCAGTCTCTTAACTTCCTCCCAGAGCTTTGCTCATTGTAATGGCTTGATCTTCCATTCATTAGCGAGGATTCACGAGTTTTGAAGCCAAATCCTTTGTCGACTGAAGAACTTCTGTTGTCTCTTCCATTGCCAGAGTACATATCTCTTTCAGGGGACAAACTGCTACTACCTCTTCACGAGCGAGCGGAGTCACCAGTTGTTTTTGATGAAGTATCGTCTCTAAGAGGAGAGCCGCAGAATGACCAAATGTGTTAGACCTAACGTTCACAGGGGAAGCATTGTGGCAATCTCAGCGGGACTACATCCTTGCACTAACCTGTCTCCCCACTCACCTAGGCCACTCGCATTCACTCATCGTGACGAGACAAAGAATGAAGAGACAACGAACCATTTGAGCACTTGACTTATGTATTACATAAATGAATAAAGACATTTCGAATAGACAACATATTTACATGATCGAACATAAACGAAGTTTACCTAGAAACGAACAATGAATTATGTGGAGATCGAAAAAAAAAGAAGCTTTTGATGTCTGTTTTCGTGGGGTTTTCTCGGAATGCAGAGGTCGACCGTTACCATTAACGATTGCGAATATCAGTGGACGATTTATCTTCTTCGCAGCCGTTTTGGGATATCACGCAACGCTCCCCGAGCATTGCATGATATCCAAACAAAACGGCTGCGAAGGAGAGCAGGGTGAAGCAAGCCAAGGGACCTTGGGTGAATCGAATCGCAAAAAAACAAACGTTCGATGACAAAGTTACGGTAGCACCCGCGCATTTTGCGTAACTTTGTTTGCCAACCATGATACAGTTACTTGGGAAATGTGTCGTGGTGAACTGCCGCTTTTTTTGTGTGGAAAGTAGTGTGAAATAACCTGTCGCATGGCGTCACTTACGGTTATTGCATGACTGTAGAGCTTCGAAATTAAAATTCGACCTTCTTTAATGGATTTTCCGTGGAATTGTGGTCGTGCGGATGTTATTGCGCGCAATTTTCGCTTCTCTGGCTGTCCAGAAAACAGTTTTTCGCCTTGCCATTTCTTTCTGAGAATTCCTAAATGAGAGGATGAACGGGTAACCCAAAAGATCGCTCAAATCACATAAGATGGGGAAAATAACGACACAGAGAACAAAAATCCCATAGTCAAAATAAGGTGAAACATTGAAATTTTTTTTTTTTTCCATGTAATAGTAACCTCTTTGGGAAAATGGCCTGATATCCAATACCAATTCGTACACTTGAAGCCGTATTGCATGTTAATACATCGCTCGTCTCGGTCCATAAAAATGCAAAAAAAGAACTCGGGCAATATCCAGCCATCTTGACCTCACGCTTGGTTAGTAAAGCATACATATTTAAAAATTATTCCATGAGTGCGTGTGGGACATGAGATAATAGTTGGTTATAACCAATCTCGTGTCTAACAAGTGTAAATGGATTAATTTTTTATATTTCAATTAAGCTGATGTTCGGATATTTGGAGTGTTTTTCAGCTCCACAACAGTTGGCGCTGTGCATTTCCATATAATGTAACTTGGAATGGTAGCTTATAACTGAAGTTGAGTAAACTAGTGAGAACAGTTGAAATGAAATATTCAGAGCGGAAAATTTATTATTTGTGATATTGATATTCATGTAAACTACTCTCCGAGTGACCCTTAAGGACCCAAGTTTGTACCAGAGGCTTATGTTTGTACTTATTGAGATTTGTTTTTAATGATCTGTCATAGTTCTGATGATTTTTTGCTTCTTGAGTACAATAAAGCCCATATCTTATGTTAGAAGGTTGACAGTTGGCTAATTTTGTGCTTATCAGTTCATTCCAGTTTTTTTTGTGGCGTTCCAAAAAGGCTCTAACCTGTGTTTGAATTTTTTTTTTCTCACTGCTAAGAGTGCAAACTTGGATACCTTGGGATGCTTTTTGTTAGTATCTGAAACGATGGCTAGAATGATGTTTTTCAACACTTGTAGTATGCACATATTGTCTAAGCAAGAGGGCACAACAAGGAAATATTTTATTCAAAGCTGTGGGCTGGATCCTTAAGTCATATTTTCCCATTTTAAGTATTTATATGACCAGGGGTGTCACTAATTTTTCAAGTGCTAGTAAGCAGGGAAATGACAAAAGGTAGTCTGGGCACAAAATTTCTCTACTTTTAAACTTCTTGAGGCAGGGGAGGGGTAAGAATAGTGGTTTAAGGAACAGAAAGCACTGCTATAGAGAGGAATGATAAAACTTTGAAAAGTTTTTGACAATCAATCAAGGTCATCTTTCAAAATACAAAGCCCAATACATTTTGCTGGAAATAGGTTTTGACCTCTTTCCATCATATACTTCAACACTTCACCCCAATGAAGCAATTATAAACAGTCACCAAAGATAAACAATTACTTTTCCTATAATGACCGACACTCAATCTTATCTCCCTGTATTTTGCATCTCATGTGGCTGTATGCCGAGCTGTACAGCTTTTTTCCACCCTCGAATAGAACATTCTAAATATTTTATTCAACAAATGGGAATGTGAATGTGAATGTTTCCCTCTGACAAAGGGCTAAATGTCAGCTTTGAAACTCTGGAGGCCACTTTACATAATTTTTAACAACTCAGTTGATAAAACCAAAATTGCCTTATTTTTAGACAGTTGTACTTTTGATAACTCAACCATGTTGGCAAATTCAGAGTAATAGAAAACAAAATATAAAGTTACTCACTATTAGGAAGGATTGAAAGTCACTTTCCTTGTAAGCATACAGTTGGCAAGGAATTTGCTTGCCCTCTTTTTAGCCTAAATGATTGACAACATGGTTTTGATCTGATGCTCTACTACCAGTAAATGTTCAGAAGTTATATATGACAAAGACAGAGAATTCGTCATGGGAGGTTTACGATGTGTTTTATCTTGGACTAAAGTACACTTTCCTTCTCAGCATACAGACCTGGCAAGGTATTTGCTTCAGCCCCGCTTTGCTGAAAAATTGAGCAAACGATCATTGACCCAATTCAATTTACCAAAGGATATTCAGTTTTCAGTTTTTAACAAAGATATCAAAAATTGTTTATATTGCGTGACTTCTTTAAACTGGCCCTTTTGAGTCACGCGTACGGAAAGGCTGTACAAACACCAGCAGTTCCGTTTCTGCGCGGGCAACCTATAGGCGTGATCATGATGTCTGTGCTCGGAGGGCAGATTTTTAGAACCAACATTTACATTTCACGCACAGGTAGTTTCCATTTCGAGCTTTAAGCCGAGATGATTTCTCGCAGAGCAAATAGGATAATGTTAAATGATTGTAAGGGTAATTACCTCATTTCCGTTCTCCTGTTTTCTCGAAGAACTTTGCCATATATTGGCTTGAGAATGAAATAAGTTAGGGAGCGTGACTAGTGCGACGCTATTTTTACCCCCCAAATAACGATTGATTATTCTGTCACATAATTTTAAATTGACAAGCAGTCTACTTTTAGGCAAACTCATCCCCATAACTATAGTGAGAATCGTTGATCTTTGGGGCAAAAATAACAGCTATGTAATTTGGATTTTTCAAGTTTCTTTGAACGCTCTTAAAGCTATGTTGCTTCAGCAGAAGTTAGAACTTGAATTGAATCTGTCTTGGGCACTGTTCTTATCATGTTTTTTTCTCTTGCGATCACGAGTAAACAGCAACTTCCGTTTATGTGCGCGCACCCAGTCGTTAGTGTATAAAGAGCTCTCGCCGTACGGAGGAAAGCACAATTGCTGGTCCTTGAGACGTAGAGTTGGAGTTTCCTGAAAAGTTTCAAGGATTGAAGCCAAGTAAGTAACTTTCTTTCATAAACTGAACTCCAATCTCACTGCAGGATCTTTGCTGAGGGTCTCCTTTGTGTGCTAACAAATTTTGCCTGGCCACAATAGATTTTACCCTCCATATATCTGTGCTAGATTCTCAGAGGATAATTTTTACCGTTTTTTTGAAGGAAAGTAGGAGGGAAAGTGAGTTCGTTTTCTTTAGCTACGGTTATTGTACAAGTACTTCATCAATTTTTCGTTTCCATTTCAAACATTTAACTGAGAATTCGGCTTGTAGATGTCGTTCAGGCGTCCTCGGTGTTTGAATAAATAGAGATCTTGTGCCAACCACGAAGGTGGCAGCAACGAGAGCGCTTAACCGAACAAGAAATTTAATGTGCACATCAATAGCTTCGCACGCCCGTTTTAAACTCTTGTTCATTTCTTAGCCGTCTTCTGCTAAACAACAACGTAAAATCCCCAAATTTGCGTGATCTGAGGAGCATCAATTCGATATCTTATGATTTAGATGAGGTCCAGCGCCAGAAGAGACGGTAATCACATTCACCCATTCGTGAAACTCTTAAGATTTAATTTATAATCGACGTTTTCTTCGGTGTTGTCGTCCTGATTGCTTAAGGATCCTATTTTCCCGTGAGAGTTTAATATTCGTGAGATGGTTCAGTCACGAATAGTCTGACTTTGACGACATCGTGCAACACTATGATCGCGACGTTTTTTCTCAGTAGCAAAGACCATTGCATTAGTATTGGAGTTCGATGAACCTCTATTTTTTTCCAAAAATTAGCGCACTAAGCTCTGATGCGCTTGAGTACGTTGACGGATAGCGTTACTGAGCGAAGAGGTAGTACCATAAGCGGCCACTTCCGTTTCTGCGCGCGCATCTTATTTTTCGGAAACTTCGTAACTTGTACTCGAAATGAGTTACTCCTTAGAGAGCTCAAGCTCGGGTAAGAAGAGTCGAAAAGTAAAATTATTTTCGCCACTGAACGAAAATAGAATTCTATTACAACTTTTAACGATATCTGAAAGCTACCGAACAAAGATCAAAGACTGACAAGGGCTGGAGATCGATACCGCAACGAATGATAAATTTGAATGACTGACTGTACTGGGAACCAAACAGGTTGTAATTGTTAACCCTTCCTTCCGTTTATGCGTGCGCACCCACTAACAATAAGGCACGGTGTCAAGCGACCTTCCTCAATTTTACAATGAGTTTTTCTCCCTTGTACTTCAGGCGCTTACCTCAAGAAACTTTTGTAAGGAAACATACAGTGCATCTCTTTAGAGAATTGTTCCACTGGTTCAGAATCGTAACTTTGCGGTGTGAAAACCCTACGTAAACAGAAGTCAAGTAACTTACTGATGCGTGACGCTTATCGGTCGTAGAGGAGGATATTGAAATTATGGATGAAACAGCCGATCAAACACACGAAGAACCACATGATCAGAGTAAGTGATCTTTAAAAGCCCTCTTCTTTATTTTCCTCATTTTAGAGAACGGGTGCATACTTAAAGGCTCGCTTCTTAAACGCAAATATTATTGATGTAGCAAGGTCCGGCTAGACTTCGGAATACCCGGCCACTCATTTACATGTTATTAAATAAGAATAGCGTCTATCGTGTTTGCCTTATTCTTGAAAGCCTCCCGACACATGTAAATGAGGTGGGTGGATTGATTGGGCCGCTCAAGATAACACAAAAGCAGACAAGATGAGTCAACGCTATAGTAACCAACAGTCTTAAAAAAAACTAATGTTAACTGTTGCAGGAAAACAAGGAAAATTTCTCTATTGCTTATACTTGATCTTAATTTGTCAACGCAGATTTCATACAGCTTCTTGTTCTCTAGCATATCAGACAATTATTTAAGGTTGCCTAGTTAGGGGCCCAGGTACACTTGGCGGACAAAATCTGTTTTACCACATCAAAGATCTCGACAATTTGTCCCCGTCAAATTTTCAATTTGTCAATCGTGGGCGCACTGAGAAACAACAGTACATTTGTTAACCACCAAATGTCAATCACACGGATATACAAATTGAGTATTGTACTTGGACCTAGGGTGAAGCTTAAACGTAAACTTGAGAGCGTCATTTGCAAAGTAGTTGTATTCTGAGTATTCTGAGCAGTGATTGTCATGTAGCATCCTAAGGTACAAATCTTCCATCTTTACCGTTTGATTGCAGCATCAAAATCAATTAATTTGGAGGCCTTTTTCTTTAAATACTCAAAAAGTGAGATCATATTTTCTTGTTTGACACACCGTATTTCTTCAAATTTTAGCTTGTAAATTGAAAAATCTATCAGGTTTCATGCCAAACAAATATGTGTACTGCTTTAAGGCAAGACAAGGGTACCTTTGAAGATTAGTAAGGCTTACTAAAATGTGGAAGAATTAAAAAATCGTTGGGTGCAGTTGTCTCACTGAACTGATAACAGATTTTTGAGCAAAATAAAGAAAAATTTTCCCAGTTCTTGGGGCGCTTACCACTTGTGTGTAATGTCGCATTACTTGATACCTGAACAAATCCAAAGCATTACACATACATAGTACACAGACTGTGCATTACTGCACACATCAGCTGGTAATGAAAAATGCATAATTATATATGAAAGTCATTTTAGAAAGTTCAGACTGAACATTTGTAGTAACCTTTGAGTAAACCCAGTGGACATTGTGAATTTTAAATCCAATTTGCTCTTTTCAAGAATTTTTCTGCTTTAATTAACCTCTGTTTTTTCATGCATTCATTGTTTATATGGGTGTCTAAAGTTGTTCTTATATATCCTTGAACTACATTGAACATGAAAATTAGTTGATACTTCATTTTTGATGGGTTCTATTTATTTGAAGAATAACAGAGCCACCATTATTCAATGCTGGCTAAAAGTTCATAGAATTATGAAACAATTGAATAAAGGCTGATAGTTTGGAAAGAAACTGTTTGGGGCTGCGTCGGTGGGAGTAACAAAATAATTTGGATATATCAACAAAGTTGAAATGGTAAATTGGTCACTGTAACGATTACAAAAGCTGATGTTTCGAGCGTTAGCCCTTCGTCGGAGTGAATAGAGGAATTGTGGGTTGTGTGTGCTTTTAAAGGCAGAAAATGGAGCTACATTATTGGTGGGAACATGGCCACGAGAAAAACACGAATAAATTAGTGGAATCAAAAGCGTTCGTTGATCCCTGTGGGATTTAGACTGCCGTTTTGAAAGATGAGCTTTTGTTCAAGAGTTTTACGGCTTTCCGTGCTACCTAAATGTAACGAAAGACCCCAGATTGCCATATGTTGCTTAGAATGATTAGGTAAATTAAAGTGTCTAGCGACTGGTTTGTTATATTCGTCTTTGTATCCATCTCACGTTAAGAATTCCATTCCTTTTTCTCAGTTTCTAAGACTTCGTCGTTTATGTAGTGATGACTCTAATTTCCACCACAAATCAGAGTCAATGTGCCAGTTTTTCGATAAACGACTGGTTACCCTGTTTCTGTCATTCAAGCAGGTTACCACTGCGCCCAACTTATTGATTGACATTCAGCACTACAAACGTCGCATAAGGAAGATTCCAACCACGTTCCATTGACTCTCACGTTTCACCCTCACAACCACTCAGTTAAATCCATCATTCTTAAAAACTTTAAATTACTTCAAAACAATCCAGAGACAAGCACTATCTTTTCGCAGCCTCCACTCGTTTCATTCAAATGCGACAAAAATATAGGCAATTTTTTGGTCTGAAGTTCTTTTCAGACTAATGACCAACCAGGCACTTTTAAATGCGCTCGTGCAGGATGCAAAATGTTTCCTTTCATTCACAACACTGATAAAATATCGGGACGTAAACGATCCATTATGATCACCGATTACTTCATGTGCACCTCCGCCAATGTAATCTATATCATAACTTGCACTTATCGCAAAAAGATATACATCGGCGAAACAGGCAGAAGACTAGGTGACTGATTCCGAGAACACCTTTGAGACGTGGAAAAGAATGACAAGGATACATCGAAACCAGTCGCTAGACACTTTAATTTACCTAATCATTCTAAGCAACATATGGCAATCTGCAGTCTTTCCTTACATTTAGGTAGAACGGAAAGCCGTAAAACTCTTGAACAAAACCTCATATTTCAAACCGGCAGTCTAAATCCCACAGGGATCAACGAATGCTTTTCATTCCACTAATTTATTCGCGTTTTTCTTGTTGCCATGTTCCCACCAATAACGTAGCTCCATTTTCTGCCTTTAAAAGCACACACAACCCACAATTCCTCTATTCGCTCCAACGAAGGGCTAACGCTCGAAACATCAGCTTTTGTAATCGTTACGGTGGCCAATTTACCATTTCAACTTTGTTGTTATATCTATACAATAAAACAATGGTTTGTGGGTAACAGGGGTCAACTAAACAAGGGCAAAAGAGAGAAAATTGAAGTATTGGGGAGTTAAAAAGATCAATAGTACAACAATTTTGTTGCCAGTTGTCAGAATGACCATTTCAGAAATTTCTTGAAAATGACGTTTAAAGAGAAGTCTGTTTTAATGTTATGTTCTGTACTTCATGAACTCTTTCGACTGATTTAGTAAACTCAGCAAATATGGCAAGTCTGGGCACTACTCAGTAAACACATTATGATTATAATCAAGTATGTAATTATCTTGTGACATTACAGTCAAGTTAAATTTACATTACATTTATTTATTTCTACAAACCTTAGCAGAAATAGATACAGGGTGAAAAGTATAGTATAGTAAAAGATATAACATTTTCAAGGAAACAATGCAAAATTTTACCTATTAAGCTGAGTCACATTGTACATGGGAAGGAGAGGAGAGGGGCATGTCTAGATAAACTAATATTGTGCCCCTTAAATTACACCAGTATAAACAAAAGAAAGAATTAAATGTGTAATTTAAAAGTAAAGGAAAACTTATAAATTAAAATAGCTCAGTGAATTGTCAAAGAGGTAGTGTTTCATTAGTATTGAGCAAGATACCAGCATAAAAGTGCTTTTCTAAACATCTTTTTAGATGGTTTGTCTCTAATTAATTGCAGAAGGCTATTCCAAAAGAATGTTCCAATAATTAATGCTTGTACAGATTCTCCCACGATTAGTTTGAAATGAGGGTATGACTACTTGATTAGATGATGAACTGTTGGTATTATAGTGATGTAGCTCAGCTACCAGTGAAACAGGTATATTAATTAAGAAACTTTTCATTTTGGAAATAATCATAAAAAAGCATATATGTGTTCAGTTTAACAATATAAGGAAATTTCAAAAGGCTTTAGCAAGGGATAATTAGTAGTGTGAAGTTATTGATTCCATTAATGGAACATCATTTATGATACAACTGCTTTGTTTTGTAATTTTACAATTTGAGACAGTGGAGCTTTCTTTATTTCCCCATAGTGTACAAACATAAGTAAGGTAAGAATACATAAGAGAATAGTACAAATTGATAAGTGTTACCACTGCAGAGACACTGACAGTGTTATAACTTAACCATTATATTTATATTTTTGCTAATTTTGCCACATATGCATGTAGTCGATGTGATCACACCAAGTAAGGTGATCGACAATGGATATGCACACCAAGGTATTTGACGCAAGAAGACTTTTCTAAATGAACATTTCGCAACTCTAATGGTGGGAACAAATGGTAATTTTTCCTTTTGAAGGGGCATAAAGATAAGTTACTTATGGTTTTTGTCAAATTTGAGGTCATTTTATCACTGCATAACCATTTTTAGACAGCTGGCAAATGATTGTTAATTTCACACAATAAATTGTCAAGGTCAATTCCAGAAGCTGCTAAAGATCTATCATCTGCATATAATCTTGTAGAAAAATAAGCAGGAGATCTAGACTTGGGAAGGTCATATATAAAAATAATGATCAATAGCAAAGGTCCTATGTAGTACCGTATCAAAATTAATGCTTGAGGTACACCAGTGGAGGTGGAACATGACTCAGAAGCAAGCCATTTATGTGCATCTGCTGTTTCCTGTTATATATACTTAAAAATAAGATTGGAACCAATTATTTTCATTTTGCTGTAATCCATAGTATTTAAGCTTGTTTAGTAATATTTGATGATTTACTGTGTCAAAAGCTTTACTTTGGTCTAAGAACAAAGAAATCACATAGTGTCCTTGATCAAGAGAAGAAGCTACTTTTTCAGTAAGGTCAACTAGACATGAACAGTCAGAGGCTGCATAACCTGATCTAAATCCATATTTTTGGAGGAAATCATGTCTTCATTTGTAAGATAGGACATAGGCTGATGAAAAACACATTTCTCAAATGTTTTATTTATGGAAGAGAGAACTGAAATAGGTTGATAATTAGTATGTGTAATCAAATGGTGACGAGTGAAACTAGGAAATAATTTCACGTGCGTTTTGTCAAAATTCTGATAATTATCTGATGATTAAATTATGTTCCGTCTTGTTTACACAGGGAGGTGTAAAATTGCTTGAGTACTTTATCCAACTGCTTGGGAAGAATCATCTCCAGGTTTTTCTCAAGGCAATTTTTGTCACACCACTTCTCAAAAACTCACACCCAGTTAATTTGGCTCTTTTTCATATTTAAATTTTCAGCCGCTTCTTTTAATTTCGTAACTTCAAGGGTCACCATCTTAAATCTTGAGCGAGATACAATAGATGTTACCATGGCAGTTTTGTAATTTCACATGTGAAATTAAAAATTAATGCTGAAATTTTGCACCAAATTAAAGTTAAGGAGTAAGTTGTCACCTATGATATTATTGCATGAACAACATTGCCTAGTTTAGAAACTGGAACTAGTTTAGCAAGTTTCATACTATCCGGAAAAATACCTTTGTTGATAGAAAGATTAAAAATATAAGTTAAGGGATGGCATAATTATTTGCAGTGTTGTGGTTTTTGATAAAAGTGGAATGGATGAATCTAATTTGTTTTTGTTTTGTTTTAACAACTTTACCAGGTGTGACTAGACCTGGAAGGGTTAGTGCAAACGGAACACAAAAAATTTGGGTTGAACAGTCAAGTTGTTAGGCTCGTTAAGGGGTTAGTTGTTAAGGGGAAAATCTCTGGACACACCTGTGCACGTGACTGTGTGAATTGCACAAAAGCATCAAGTCCTGACACAAACAAAAATCTTGGAGAAGTTGTAATCCAACTTTCATAGAACTTCAACTGAGATAAAATAAACAAAAAGTTGTCATGAACAACTAAGAAAGTTGAACAGGCCAGTGCACCAAGTCATCATTTTAAGAAATATCAAAAAATGTAGCAAGATGGAAATTTCATCTTTAAGAGAATAATGGAAAGAGAAAATTTAAGAATGTTATAATTGGTTTATTCAGTATTATCAGTTCTGGCAATACAAGTATTGAAAAACGACTGATTTACAAGCATACTACATAATAGTATAGATGATAAATAAAATAAAAAAGTTCATATATGTAATTATATACCTATAACAAGTTAAAAGGCCTCGAGCCAACAGTGACGCCACGCCGGAAGGATCCAAAAGGATTCACAGTCCAAACCTCGATAAATAGTAGCTCAATTATTAAGTTCAACAATCATGTAGTGTTCAGTGTTTATGATCCCTTGAAATTGGTGGTTCGACATGTTCAGACATGTATTTTTTCACTTTTCAGACCCAGATGAGTTTATAAATTGTTAGGGTTCCAAACAAAATCATGGGGTTGAGATTGATTAACCCTTCCCTTACGAAAAAAGTGCCTATTTTATATCTATTTTATGTCTATTTTTCAAACTATTTTCTACCTATTTTTTGTGTATTTTTTCTCTATTTTCCAGACTATTTGAAAGCTGTTTTTTAACCATTTGAAAGCTATTCTTTTGAACAAAAAATAGTAAAAAAATAGTCTGGTTGGCAAGTCATAACTGCTGTAAAAATAGCTTTAAAATAGAAAAAATGCACATGCAATTCACTGATAAAATAGTATTAAAATAGCATTAATGAAATATTAGTTATAAGATAAAATAGACATAAAACAGGGATAAAATAGAAAAAAAAACAAAAATAGGATGTAAGTACATTTAAAATAGGAATAAAAGAGGAAAAAACTTGAAAAAATAGGAATCAAATACCTCTCAAATAGACATAAAACAGGGATAAAATAGACAAAACAAGGATAAAATAGACAAAATAAGGATAAAATAGGCATAAAAACAGGGATAAAATAAGGAAAAAATCTAGAAAAATAGGATACAAATACATTTAAAATAGCTCCTAATGTATTTGTCATGCAGGGTAAAAGGGTTTAAAATAGCGCTTCGAGTGTATGGATCCAGAATAAGGTGGCTATAAAATAGGTTGAAAGAAGGTGAAGATCAAAAAAGCATATCCCAATCCTCAGCCTAGGATTATCACTTTTGTGTGTTAAGTTGTAGCAATTTTCCCATTGCAAATGATTTAATGATCAATACTTCATATGTTTATGCAACAACCTCTCTCTAGACTAGATTGCATGCATTACATGAAATTAAAAAAAATTGTCACTCAGGAAAGACCAAGTTTTAAACAATGCCATTAATTTACTCCAGTCTTCAATCTGTATCCAAAGGAAGTGACAACAAGTACTTTCAGTTTACATAGAAATGATAGGATACAAAGTTTTCATAAAAATAGAAAACAGAATTAAAGTAGAATTAAATTTTAAAAAGCAAAGTTTGTCCTTGCATTTAGATAGCTGCAGTGGCTTCCTCTTTGTGGTTTCCCTATGTTTCACTGTTTTCCTGTACTCTGAAATAAAAAAAACAACAGAAATGATCAATAACTGATATTTCATCCACCAGTAGGTAATTTACTTGTTAGAAAGATTAATTTGCTAAATAATTCCCTTATGATTATGGTTTCCTTGATGCAAAATGATGTAATTCACTGAATTGAACAGGTTTTGATAACTTTTCTGTACTGCTTCAGTAAAACTTATGGCTTAAATTCATACTTCTAGGGCAAAAATAAGTCAAGTTGATATAGTTCTATTATAAAGGCTTATAAAGCCAGCCAGTTACAAACATTACACCTTAACCTCGTATGCACAGATCCTTTCTCATCCAAAGAGAGTCTGCTTTCGGGAAGCTCTACCATACAAAATTGTGCTATCTTACCACAATCCCAGTCATGCAAAGGCAGCTGCATAAAATTAATCTTACCTACAAAAAATCCTGGAATGGATCATTGAATTGACTTCACATCTCACGGTTGTCTTAGCTCTGAATTCTTTGTGCTTTTTACTTGTCCAAGTTTTGCAACCATAGCAAAATCTGTTTCAGGAACAAAGTTACATATACACATAAGAACAATTTCTATCCCAAGCACTCAGTATTGACTTAATAAAGACTCTTATTGCATCAGACACAAAAAGATGCACTTCTAATGTGGACTAAAATTGAGATTTTATGGGACAACCCTGACTGAGTAAATGTAAGAGCGATTGCATCTTGGGACATCATCACCAACTTGGCAAAGTAGAGAGATGGAGAGAGTTTGGGATCAACATCACTAAGCATGCTCCCTCATCTTTGATTCTTACTTCAATTAATAGAAAAAACAAACAATTCTTGTATGCCAGGATTAAAAATCCAATTACAGTGATCTCGAATTTTAGAACAATTAAGAAAGAGAGCATGATGCAGGTATGGCGGGTTTTCAAATTAACGATCGAAGGTATAATTCTGTTGCCCCTCTTTCTATTTGAGAGGTGTTTAGGTTTCTCTTCTAGTGCATTACTACAAGGGAGTCTGCAAACTCAAATTAAGTAAATGTTTACATAGTTTATGGAAACAGGTCACTCTATAAGCTTATATTTACAGCCATTGAAATGCAACAAACTTTGGGGCTTATTCTGACCACGAATCAAAAGCACCTTCACGTTTGAAATAAACTTGGAACTTTGTATAAATAAAAAACAGTTTCACTTACCTCTTTCACCATCTTGAATGATGGTGTTGTTTGCCTTCTATTGTTCTTCTTTGTGTTGCTCATTGTGTCTAAGAGAGGCAAGATCTGAATAGAAAAGGCAAAATACCAACGGAACTCCACGCTTCTCCGATCGAGAGACAAGGTTCGTTTCGCCCGCCAAAACTAAATTCCGTGTCCCGTATGTCACCATATAAGGAAAATTACAAGATCCCTTATATACGCCGACCGTACTAGATGTCAGCGTAGCGTGACAAAAAAATGGCGGATGAGTGAGGATCGTTCTTCGTTAAAAAAGCTAGAGAAGAAGAAACTTGCGTGGACCTTACAACCAGTATCTTTCTCAAACGGGACTAAAGATACCTCGAACAACCTTGCGACGTTGACCTCAGAATTTTCCGACCTCCACTGCTTTGCCTCGGACGACCTCAGCACAGAGTCACTAACTTACTAATATGACGCTTCGCAACCGAACGACTTCACACATATGGAAACTGGTGAACCATCACTTAGTTTGTTAAGCCAGTCCGCTGTTCCTTTCAAAAAAGGATTACTGTAAGACTTATTTCAGTGAATACAAAGATTATGATCATGAGCAGGGCGACAAATGCGACCCTTGGATAGAGGCCTCTTTAGCCTTCAGACCATATTTTAATTTAGTGGTTTCAGTTTTAAAGAATCTGTGTAGAGATTTTTATGACCGCGAAACTTGAAAACTTCCACCCAATGTTTTCAAATTTGAACCCATCTTTAAGTTGTCAACACAGAAACTGTGACTTTAGAGTTCTGTATGTTAGTCAAGCTTGAATTCATGAATAAAATAGGTATAAAATAGGACAGGTTATTACACTTCACACCTAGTTGCTGTTTCAAATATTGTGGGTCTGGGATACTTTGAAGAAAATAGAATTAAAATAGACTATTTAATACCTATTTTGCAATGGATTAGAATCCACCTCAAAAAATAGAAATGAAACAGTCTATTCTATATCTATTTTGCAATTAGTCAACAATTTCTTTGATAAAATAGGGTTGTGATAGCCTATTTTTTTCATATTTTTCAAAGGAAATGGCTTTAGCATGTACTATTGGCAGTAAACAGAAATAAAACATACTATTTGATCACTATTTTACTGATGTAGAAAATAAAATATGATTAAAATAGTCTGTTTAGCTGGTTATTTTTCCACTCATTTTGAGAAAATAGAAATAAAATACACCACCTTGTTCAACCTTGCCTTAAAATATGGTTAAAATAGTGGCTCTACTTTCCCTTTCAGGTAAAATAGGAATAAAATATAAGTCTGAGAAAATAAAATAGTACAAAAATAGAGGTGATAGCATTAAAATAGACATTAAATAGAAATAAAATAGGTTTGTGTTTGTAAGGGTTAATAAGTTTTCTCATGCAGTTATTGGATATTCATTTACAGCATTTTATAACAATGTCAATCAAGGTAGTGGGATTTATAATTGTTACCACGACATCATAATCTTTATCAATCATATTACAATATATGAAACATGATTAGTAATCAATTAGTATATTAAGTGAACGCACGTGTTTGGATATCCTCACAAGGAATCGAGCCATAAATGTTGGTATGTAAATTAGATTTATATTGTTTCTCTTTTCTATAACCTGTTACATTTTAAGTACACCGAATCAGGTTAACTTTTTGTGATCTATTTTCGGTTGACCTTTTGTTTTACATAAACTGAAGCAAGTAAAGTGAATGAGTACAACAATGTGCTCAATTATTAAGTTCAACAATCATGTAAAGTTCAGTGTAAATATTTTTCAAAAAATTCTATAGATACCATTATGCCATTGTGGGAAGGGATTATAACCAGAGTATTTTTGTTCAACAAATTTGGGCCCTTAATAACCATTTGACTTCCAAGATCTGATAGTTAATTCTGACTCTAATGCTGAAAATGAGTGAAATGACTTGACTTGATACAGTGTTTAAATATTTTAGTTTTATATTTAGAATGCTGCACTTGGGGATTCTTTCAGGCTTGGGATGCTGCATGCTACTTTCCTTTTCCTCCTCATAGAGACATAGAACTGTTCTGAATTTTCTTGGCCATGGGCAAGTCTTTTGTGTACTTGAATAAGTGAGTGTTACTGGGTGATTCAATAAAATCTATGGTGCTCTTATATAGGCTGATTTATGGTTTACCTTCTTGCCTCTGCCACCTAACAAGGTTGTAACCCGAACAGCATGTCACTGCATGCATTTAATGGTCCAACCTCTAATTATTATTTTTATTAATAACTGTATATTATTACACTCAAAGAACGCTAAGACCTCAAAGGCCTGCTGTGTTTTTATTGATTAAGCAATACTTTCTCAAAGGGTATGTTTATGTGTGCCTATTGCACTTGTAATTTGACTTAGTACTGCTGCATGTATACATGTGAGACTTCCTGTTTATATTTTTATTTAAGCTTTAGGTTCGGTGCCTTCGACATCCTTTCAAAAATCTCCTGGAGGTCCTAAAGGCAAAAATGTGGTAGTCTTATTATCCAGAGATGTTGCATATAGATATGGTCAAGTCTTTATGCCGGACACCGCAGGAATGGTGCAGATTAAAAAACCATCCCGAGGACAGTTTGCAAAAGATTTGTTCTTCACTTGGGAGATGTCAGAAGATGACGTGTGCTCTCTACTATGTTCCAAGTTGCCAGTTTTGCAAAATCGAAGGTATTTGCCCTTGAGGTTTTATAATTATAATTGTTATTCATAATATAAAGGGCTTTTCAAAGCTGTGTTAAGGTGATTCCTCAGTATTCCATCGTGCATCTTCCATTGGGCATAAAAGTCCGTAGGTACTAAAATTTGGAATCACGTGAAACCACCTGAAACCACCTGAAACCATCTGAAACCATCTGAAACCACCAATGAAACCACCTGAAACCATCTGAAACCCCCAAGGAAACCATCTGAAATTACCTGAAAAGATCTCGAAACAATTTAAAACAACATGAAAGTGCCTAAAAAATTACGGGTAACATCAGAAAATAAGTGTTAACAATGGAGTTTATCCACAGGGAGCCCGGCCTACAGATATTGTACATAATACCATACAGTACAGAATAGGCACCACAAACAGGGCTTTAGGCTTTTTTTCCCTCAAAATCTCAACTATCTAGTCAATTTACTTAGGCAGTGGGAGTTAAAGCCACCATTCATCAGCTATATTCTGTCATTTTCAGTAAAATACCTAGCAAAAAATCCACGTAATTATTCACTTTTGCAAAAACAAAGTCAGTGAAATTCTAGGTCACGCTATAAATTCGTCTCTGATTAAAAAGAAATACAGTGTTCAAAATTTTCCTTAGGAAGTTTGAAAATCTTCAGGCCTTCCTGGGCTTTTTCACATATAATTTGCATGATCCTGTTGAAAAAACTTCACGTATTTCTTTCGATTTAAAACAGTTTCTTCTTTGCATTCGCGATCGCATGTTGTTATTGTCACGCAAGTGCTTTGTCAAGAAATGAATTCGCATACTCCCGTGCAACTCCCAGCCATTCGTAGAGCTAATTGAGTGTGTTTTCAACAAGAATGATGGAATGTTTCCTTGAAGGTTTCCTTTGTGGTTTTAGGTGGTTTCAGGTGGTTTCAGATGGTTTTAGGTGGTTTCAGATGGTTTTAGGTGGTTTCAGATGGTTTCAGGTGGACTTTCGGGTGATTCCAACTTTTAGTACCTAATTATGCATAAAAGTCATGTAATCAGGCAATTAAATAAGTGCGTCCATTCCATTAGAACATGTTAATGTTACTGACAATCAATGAGGTATATATGATGGATGTAGTTTTAGTTACTTTCAGTTCCAGTAATCTGCTCTGGTGTTCTGTTGCATTTTGGGACCATGAATGTGCTTTCAAGCCTTGATACTAAAGCCATGCAAGTTTTTTACAATCTCTTTAGCTCTTAAATGAGCACACCGAGTGACCATTAATCTTTTACTGCATAATTTCTGGTGTACAAATTGTCCTCTTTCAATTTGAGAAATTAAATAAAGATTCACAAGATCGGAAAAATATAGCTAAAAGTGCATGTGCATGTAAAGCCCAATACTTGATTATGGGAATTTTCACCTTGAAAGGAACAACTCGAGTAATGTTCGAAGCTGATGTCGCTTAAAATTGCATCATTTTCACACAAGTTATATATCAAATTGTTCCACACACCCAAGACTTTCTGCCAATCAATTTTTTCAAGTGTTACATTAAAAACCCTTGCTCCTATGCAGCTACTGCAAAATGTATTGTTAATGGATGAATGATGGGCGTGATTAGTGCAAGTACAGGCACAAATGGGGTAAGATAATGGGCCATCATATCCCTTAAAAAAGTAAGGTGCATTACCTTTTTTTATTGTATTTCTTGAAACCAAGATTGGTATTATCATTAAATTTTAAGGAAAGGTTACTGAAAATTGCTCAATATACTTTGCCCTGAGGAATCACCTTAAGATAATGATATAAACCAGGGTCTGTGTGAAATATTTGAAAGCTTTTATGGAAAATTAAGCATACTTCCTTTTGTCTGCAGCTTGATGATTGGAAGTGGCTTTTGAACAAAGGAATAAAGAATGTTGGATTTAAATTTGACCCTCGGTTAAGGGGAAGTGTACTTATTGAGCACCAGGCTCATAATTTGCTGTATAAATCCACTTAGCCCCTTCTCTTTGGACTTTGGAAAATCTTTTCACTTAGGAAAAAAAAGCTAAATATGTCCATATGCATGTATAGTCGATCTCATGGGAACGCCAATGGAGGCATCTTTGAATTGCATCAGTTAATTTAATTTAGTTAGCACAGTGGTCAATTCATGCTCAATTACATCTCATTAGTTGAACCTAGAAAATAGCTTGAGAGCTAAGATAGAGTAAGATAAAAGGTACCCTGAAAGATCCTTTGATTTGTTTGAATTGTGAATGGAAGTAATACCACTGGTAGTAAAGTCATGGGAGCTGGTTAGTCAAAGAGTACTTTTTGAGAGATGAGGTAGGTGAAGGGTACCCAGTTAATGATTTATCAAATTGTGAATGGGAGTTACAACTTGCAGTTCAGTCATATAAATGCATCTTGTCTGAAGGACTTTAGGGTAAGGATATAAGTAATGAGAGATTACACAACCAGGTAGTGAAGGGTACAGGATATATTTTTGTCCTGGCATTCCCCAACTTGTTTCCCACTTTTGGATGTTACTGTAAATGTTGTTAGAGCATAATGTATAAATTTAAATTACAAGTAAGGTCTTTCGAGCATCAATACATATATGTATAATATGTAATTGCACATTGCAGGCTTGAATGTGCGATTGAACTTAACTTGAGACCAAGAACTTTGTTCTGTTTCATCTTCAGATTCTGCTGTGCCTCTGCAGTAGATAATCGAACAAGGCTGGAATTTAATGGGGAGAAGAGAATTTGGGATGGGCAAGACATTAGAAAGAATATAAAAGGAAATTCAGCTCTTTACATCCTTGAGGTCTGTTGAAATTACTTGGAGAAAATTTTGAATTAAAGAATTAATTGATGGAAGCTGGAAGACTGCACATTCTATACACATGATACATGATTTTGACTATTACATTCAGTTTGTATCAATTTATGAGGTAATTTTTTTCTGTCTTAGTGACATTGCAGTATCAAACTACCATATCTATGTCATTACTTAGATCAATTTTTACAATTACTCGAGACGTCTTTTAGAGTTCTTTTATTTGACTATTATGATTTATACTGTTAATGTCTCCTTCTCAGCCAATGATTGGTGTCATCATACAAGGCACTTATACCCATTTTTGCTCTCGACAAAGTGAGAGCATGTTGCATGCAAGGAGACCCAACAAAGGCTGCAAAGGAGACACTGTAATTACAACAAAAATTTTAGACAAAAATAATTTTTCCTGTCAATTACAACGTTTTAAGGAAAAATGTAGAGCATGGGCTGAAGTAGACTATAAACATGAAAAAATGCACACAAAACATCTCCTAAAGTATATATATTCACCCATAACAGTCTGACCAGTAACCATAAACACTTTTTGGTGCTTTAATGTTTAGATATTGATAGGAATATATGATACCTGCATGATCAACATGAAGTCAGTTTTTCTTCTTTCACTAGATTCCTCATGACACTGTAGAGGATTCCTCTGGCATTGATGCACATGTTGTTAGTAGTGATGTGAATAACTCAGAAGGTTTGTACAGTATAACTACTTAGCATATGTACACTTCAGAAATTGTTACTAAATCTTGTTATGATAGGAAACAACATTTGATAAATCAAATTTTATCCACATATTTAAAACTCTTCATTGTTAGTATAACAGCATCAATTGGCCACTCAAATCTAAATAGCCTTTGCGATTTACCACCAAGCAATGCAGACAGGATTTGTGCCCAAAAAGTATTGTTATTGTAACAGGTATAGATAAATACAAATAGTTTTTTTTCTTGATATACACTAAACAACTATTCACCTCTGTCCGTGTTGCTGGCTAGTTTGAGAAATTTACCTTGCTGCTATGCACCTCAGTAAATGTCCACCACCCAGTCTAATACTTCCACTTGGGTTAATGGTTGTATGATATATAACAAATAGATGAATTTTGTTTCCTTTCTGTACTTATATTCCCACTTTCTTTCAATTAGGAGATTTTCCTGATTTGAATGATGTCAGTTTTAAGATAAGCATTAATCCACAGAGGGTTCCTTTACAGGTAGAGTATAGTACCTAACTGCAAAGATTCAAAGTAGTGCCCATATTATATATCCCTTAACTGAAAAGATGCTCCGGCCTCTGCTGGCCAAGTATTTTCTATTAAGCATTCCCCAGATGTGTTTTCAGATGAGGAGGAAAATGCTCCGAAAATCATGTCATTTGTTTTCGTGTGATGATCAGGAGAATTTTGGATGCACTGAACATGCCTACACTTAAGAGCCTCAGGGTGCCCTGTTGCAATTAACACAACAGTTTTGCCAGTGAAATAAGTCTGAATTTGTTTATCAAGGTGACTGTTGAAGGTAATATTGCATAAATGTTCACATGGAATTATGAGACTGTCCACTCTTTTGAGTTTCTAGCTGAGAGTACTGCTTCCCCTTCAAAAATAAAAATCATTTGCTGATAATTGTGCATGAACTTCATCTTCAGATACCACCATTTTCAATATTCATAATTAGTCAGGCACCCTGGCCTCCTCAGTCAGCTGGGGTTGTCAATTAAGGCTGCAATTCTCTTGTTTTCCTCTCATACTGTAATTATCTTTTTTTAACAGTCATTTGGGACCACATAGATTGATAATCTATAATTATGCTGTTAGAGTTTACTAACAAGACTGGCTTTACTGGAATTAAACGACCAGGGGAGCCCCAACCTAGATAAATGATTATTGGCATAGACACAGACTTGAATCTGTACTGAAACAATCATGAAAGGCTTAGATTGGCTTTATTCCTTTTCTATATGGGATACAAATCAAAGGTTTTTCTATGCAATCAAAGGTTTTAGGAAGTACATGATTTTCCTTAGTTTCCAAAATGGACCTCGAGGTCTCTCAATTGTCAGTCTTTGGACTGAAATGTGACTTAATTAAATTGTGAGTAATAACTTTATTTTATTTATACTAAACTAGGGAGGATACCCATTTGTGATAAAATTCACTCCTGATCTTCCACCAAATGTTATAGCAGGATATGCTGTCTTTGAAGAATTAAGAGCGGTCCGGGAATTAGATAGATCAAATAACAACTCTCTAGTTGGTTATGACATCCCACGTAAGTGATATATTTTAATTGCTGTATCATTATTTTTCTTTGCAAATGCTGAATTCAGTAATATACTGGCAAATAATTACCATCTAAATAAGTTCACTTCAGCATATAGCCCAAAGAAACTTACTTTTAAGTACATGATTAGTGCCATATAACCATGGGGTTCTTGAATGTTATGTAGCTGCTGAAAGGCCAGGCATGGTCAAGGTGAGAGTACAAGTAAAGGAGGATTTAGCACATCTTGGTACCACTTCAATTGAATATTTCAATACTCAAACGGAGACCCTCAAGCAACTGGTCCATGATCCCAATCTACAAAACATGTTTTTCAAAGAGTGGGCGAATGGATGCGGAAAAAGCTGCACTACCATTACAGATGGCATCCTACATTCTTCACAATTTGGTGAGTTAGAGCTGGAAAGACGTGCAAATAGGTGGTGTGTTTTGCATCAGGTGTATGTAGTAAACTGGTGTCAAACAGAAAGTCATAGAAAGTTACCTACAATAGTAAAAACTGGTTTTATACACTCAATTACTTAAACTGAGCCACACAATGGAAAAAATTAATACTGCGAGTTGTACCCTTCACCTGCAACTGTTTGCATTTAATCCAAGGTTTTTTTTGGCCCATTCACTTCATTCCACTCTAAATTTCTAAATTATTTTTTACTTTAAGTTCAAGTTTATATTAATTTGCTGTGTTTTCGGATTTACTCTAACGAGGATCATAATATTGTACAAATCAGGAATTCTACCAGGAGAAAGGAACGGTTTTGATTACGACATCTTTTACAGGATTTATGGATCCATCAGCCTCAGGTTTGCCATCAGTTCAGGGTTTAAAACTGTTGGTATATACAGCAGCAGAAACTGGGGGTCAAAAATTTCTTGAAGTCGTCTTTAACTCATCAGCTGGAAGTGTGGTTTTCAATGCATATAAGAACATTCCTCTATTACCAGAAGCAGTTGCAAGAACAAATGGCTATGAGGATACTGCACAATTTCTCGAATCCATAACTAAAAGGTACATTATTAAAAGTCTTTTACTGAATCTGAACCAAAGGAAGCAGCATTATATATATACTATTGAGTAAAAAGAAACATTTTTTTCTATTTTTTGTTTTAAATTAATGTTCTTTGTCTTATATTTTTCTCTGTTCTTATTTGTCTAGATTTTTTCTATTCTTGGATGATTTGCTTTCATGAAAACATTTTTGTTTCAAATCAGTTCTAGCTGCAACCGATTTGGTACGAACTAAAACCAGATTGCTTTGTGCTACTTGTTTTGGGGACAACTATTTTCACAAAATAATTTCAATATACCACCCAGAACAAATTATTGCTGCGTAAACCTGCCTCGTACCTTGTGTGGTTTTGCAACAGTGTGCCCAGAGGGTTGTTTGACCTCAAGGATGTTGGGATTCCAGTCAAATAAACTATCACAAGGTAGTTGGAATCTTAACGTTTTAATAGAATGAACAACTTACAAGCGATGCGAATCTTAGCACAAGGTAAGACTAACTTGATTGGCTAACTCGAGTCACATGACATAAGCGATTTCGTGACACAACGACGTTACAAAGGAAAGGGTATTGCAAAGTGCCAATTATTTAGTTGTATTTTCTTTTCATTACTGTTTTACCAGAAGCGTGAAATAACCTTTCATGCTTTTTTAAGTTTTGTTTTGTTATGTTTTGTTTTTTTGTTTTGTATGTTGTTTAATTCAAGCTTATTTGTTTCCACAGGTTGTCCGCAGAAAACACGACTGGTGAGGAACAATTTAAGGTAGACCATATTGTAGAGCTTGCCAAATGTGCCGAGCCGGTTCAAGAGCAGCTCCGTAAGTACAACCTGTCATTATATTCCCAGGTTATACTGTGCCTTTCAGCGAAATTTTACAGTAAAAAATGTTCCAATGGCTTTGTCCAAAATGTCAACTGAACAATCACAAATTTTTAGATTCTTAATAATACTTACTCTCAACTTTACCTGTTTCAGTTGAAGAGAAAATTTAAAGTACTTTTTGATATCTTTCAGTATTTGTTAATGACAATTGCAATCAGTTGTGCGTGGTATCTTTCAACCCAACAGATCATAGTAGTTTTGAAGGAAAGTCTCCACTTGAAAATGATGGAATCCCAGAAGTTGACTATTTTGGAGATGCTGAGATATCTTCCTCTAATGAGTCAGAGCAGCAAGGCTTTAGTTCTGAAGATGAATGTTCTCATGAAAAAGGTAAAAGAGGCGCAGTCAGATCTCTTTGCTTTGTTAAGATTGCTCGTTTAATAGTGCAATTTTCAAAGGCGTTACGCCGGATAAGATAAAACCAGGAAGAAAGTTACTGGTGTATTGCGCGGTTACGCTATCACCGACTGGAACCATAGCAATTTGGCCTCCATACGAGATGGACTTTAAGAATGGCCCTTGTGTGACAGGAGGGGATATTAATTTGCCATGTGTAGTAAGACTCCCCCCTATTTTTACAGTTTACTTGGAGATTGTTCCTCTGCAAAGTTCCTTTCTGAGGCTTTATGCATTTTTCCAAATGCACCACCTTGTGAGGCTGACTGTACGATGACATCTGGTGAATATTACTGAGGACTTAATAACCTTGGGAAACTGTCAGGCCCGATGGCTTGTAAATAATTCTGGTTTTGCGACATAAAGCTCTTAATTGCGGTTTCATTTCTATTTGAGAAGGGAAGTTCTTGCAAGTTTCTAGAACGTTAATGTTTCCGGGGAAGTACTTCCGCTGTGGCAAGTAAGCCTTAAATTTCGATAAGGACAACTTTGTGAAGAGACAATAGGTCAAAATTTGTGTATTTAATAAAACGTCAGGATGCAGTTGTTCAAAGGGCGGATAATGCTGTTCGGCAGATAAGTTTTATCAAGATGTACTGGGCTATCCATTGGATAGAGAGTTCTCTAGTGGAAAGCTTTATCCAAATAAATACCAGGGACCTTTTTTTTGTTTGTTTGCCAATCGTTTCAAGGTGCTATGCCCAGGCTTGTAAGGTATGTCATTATTGGTGACAGTGGACACTATTGATATTATTCAAATGTTGAAGGAGTGGAAAATTTCAATTGCACGTAATCCAGATATGCAGCTATAAGAACACCAATAAAAATATGATTCAAGTATTTGAAAATGATCCTTATTTAACCGGAATCAATTCCCACAGATGGTAATTCAGCGGAAGATTCGCGCTCTTACTCAGAGGAACAACTAGATCAAATGGTAAAGGAAGTACAAGGTAGGAATGGCTCCCACCTTGAACATGGAGATGATCCTCGAAAGAATATAGAGTCTTTGCCTTACGTTGTAGCTGATGAAGAGAGCAATGAAAATGCAAATGTTTCTGTGGTTGGAGAAGTAGGTCGTAAGGTATCCCTTGATTCCGAAAAGACCGTATCGAGGCTGACTAAAGGTAAGCAAAATGAAGCACCATAATTAAAGAGGGAATAAAAAGCATCGTGAATAGATATTGCATGATTACTGGTGGGAGGATGACGAGCCCTAGCCTGTCTGTGAAACAAATGATGATAAACACCTTGCGATTGGGAAATTGGTTAATTGTTCCGAGTAAGAAAACCAGAGAAATAAGGGTGAAACCTCAACTGGAAAAGTAAACATTAAGTCACATTAAGTAGGGTGGCAGTAGTGCGGATAATCCTTATTGTAACACGGCCATTTTTTATTTAAGAGCCACTGACTATAAATATCGAGAATCCGCCGACAGTTGAAAAATTTCGTAATATTCGTTTCTTTTTTCTAAAGGACCGTTTTAATGAACCTTTTTCGAAAATTGTATCAAAAAGTTCTATCGTGCTTTTTTTTCTCCGAAAAATCGAAAAGTTCGAAATACGCCTAAGCGACCGTAGTCCCCCCGTACAGCAATGAAAAATTATGCAAGTTCGGCAACTTCGTACTCTACAACGCGATGCAATCCCACTTTTGAATTTTGTATGCTAGCAGATGGTCCGTTAATCTCTTGGAAAATATTAATATCTTGTTATTTTGTTACGTTTAAGTCTGAATAGTGACCCGTTCAAATAAAGAACTTCGCGTCTCTTTCGCAGAGGTAAAATAAAGGTCTACTTCAGTGGCCTATGAACAGGTCTGCCATATATAATTACAAATCGTAAAGTACATCAACTTAATTTTGATTAGTTTAATTTAATTTAATCAAGTTTCATATTGACAAACAAACGACAATTACATCAATCGATTGATCAATCTGAGGTAGGCTTAAGAAAGAACACAAGACTCCTTAAAAAATAAGCCACCGATTATAACATCATAAAATTAAAAAATCTACATCAATCTACATTACTACTAACTACGACTATACCTCAAGGTTCATACTCTATTCTAAACTTATCATAAGAAAGCGCCATTAGTTTCTTACGAAAAATTGACAAGGTATTTGACTCTCTTATACTAATAGGTAATTCATTCCACAGGTAACAAATCCGAATAAAAAAATAATTCTTAAAGGCGTCAGTCCTGCTGAAAGGGACATCAAGCGTTAAATGATCAACGTTTCCAGTGATCTAATACAAGAACGAAACGATACGTAATCTAAGATATTTAACTTATTTATATTCTTAAAACACTTAAAAAGAAAACCAAATTATTAATTTGACTACGATAATGCAAAGGCAATGAATTTAATTTACTAAGACGCTCGTGTTGAGAGTAATTCCTACCAAGAATAAATCTTGTAGCCCTGCGTTGGACCTGCCGTAAAATGCTGATGTTTCGTTTTGTATGAGGCGACCATACCACGCTATTACATTCAAGGCGCGACCGAACCCAAGTAGTGTAGAGCAATTTCCTTGTACTAATATCAGTAATGTCCCTGCATATTCGATAAAGAAGATAAAGCATTTTTTGAGCTTTCGAAGAGACGAAATCAGCATGATTATTCCAACTTAAATTGTGGCTAACTAAAACCCCTAAGTCTTTCTCAATATCGACACGGTCTAACTTAGTTCCACCAAGATAATAGTCCCTTCATTCGTTGATCTGATACGAGCCACCGTTAAAAATTTACACTTCTTGGTATTAAACTCCAAACCCCAGATACTAGACCACTGAAATAACTGATTCAAGTCATTCTGCAATTTCACACTGTCATCCTGTCCAAGGATTAGGCGAAAGCACTTAAAGTCATCAGGAAAAAGGGGTAACGATGTTTCTTTGGAAATTACATTGGGCATATCGCTGATAAAAACCAGGAACAGCAAAGGCCCCAGAATTGACCCCTATGGGACTCCAGATGTTACAGGGAGGAAATCAGAGGACTCGTTATCTATCACAACTCTGTGTCTTCTACTAGTTAAATATGATCTAAACCAAGCCAACAAGGATCCACCAATACCAAGACATTCTAGCTTGAATAGGAGTCTTTCGTGAGACACTTGATCGAAAGCCTTGGAAAAATCGAAATAAATACCATCAACTTGTTTTCTCCTTTCAAGAGCAATAGCTTTATCCTTGTATTTTAATTCCTCCAATTCTCTTTCTTGGCCCACCATGAGCGGCGCGTCCAGGTTTACAAGAGTTGGGCTATTTTGTCTAAGATGCAATGCGAACCACTGAACAGCTGTCACGACCCATTTAAAGGCCATTAAAAGGTCTTGTATGATATATTTACAGACCAAAATATATATCACCTTAAAGCTTTATCCTGGCAGTCTAAGTCCTCTAAGTTTCTTTCTTGGCCCGCCATAGGCGGCGCGTTCAGCTTTAAAAGAGTTTGGACTAAATCAAAACGTTACCTTCTTTTAAGCTTATACTGTCTAGTTAAGACTTGGTTGGCATAAGCGTAAGGATAAACAGAAGCGAAAGACTTTCAGGCAATCAGCAAGCACTGTACTGCTTATACCAACCATGTCCCTATTTAACATAGAATCGCATAGCTTACAGTAAACACGCGCTCTGATTGGTCAATACGTCAACCGGAAGAGAGGGTATTTAGCGTGGAATCGCACTAATGCATAAAGCGATATCGCTGACGTGAGTCGCGAGCAAAAATTATTGTTACGAACGTAAAAATGTAAATCAAATCACTCTCACTAGCAGAACGAAATATAGTGGCTAAACAGTTTTTACGCTGAATTAAAAAAGTAATCTTTTGTTTTACAGACCTTTTCTTTTGTTCGATGTTACCTCAAATAGGCCTTTCAACTAGGTCCAGGGTGACAAATTTCTTGTCCGGCCTGGCCAGTCTGCCATGAGTCTCCTGTGGCTTAGTGGTAGAGCATGCTAAGTACTAATCGGAAGGTCGTAAGTTCAACTCCTATCGGGAGCACTCGGAGTTCATTTTCTCCGGAATGTGTCTTTGTTATTTACGATATATGTGGTCCCTAAAAGAAAGAGTTGTAATTATAAAAGATGACTACAGGATTGAATGCCCTTAATAGGAAACTTTTAGCATAGTCTCAGTTCGTATGATGATTGATTACGACTTTCAGTGATCTTCCTTCATTACAGGACTGTACGGTTTTATTTGCCTCATCCAGTTCTTCTTCTTACACTTTATCTTCTCCAGGGGTTGCTGATGACTCTCAGAAGGAAGTGGGAGACAAAGCTGGAGAGGGACGGGCCTATGCAAATCTTGGAAGTGGCTATCATATGCTTGCCGATTTTGGAAAGGCCATCGAGTACCATGAGCGCCATCTAAAAATTGGTAAAGAAGTTGGAGATAAAGTTGGAGAAGGAAGGACATATGGAAATATTGGCAGTTGCTGTCGTAACCTTTGTGATTTTAAAAAAGCCATCGAGTACCATAAGTGTGATCTACAAATTTCTAAAGAAGTGGGAGACAAAGCTGGAGAAGGAATGGCTTACGGAAATCTTGGTAACTGCTATCGTAGCCTTGGCGATTTTAAGAAGGCCATAGAGTACCATGAGCGATATCTACCAATTGCTAAAGAAGTGGGAGACAAAGCTGGAGAGGGAGGGGCTTATGGAAATCTTGCCAATGCCTATCACAGCCTTGGCGATTTAGAGAGGGCCATCCAGTACCATAAGCGTCACCTAAAAAATGCTAAAAAAGTGGGAGACAAAGCTGGAGAGGGAAGGGCTTATGGAAATCTTGGCAATGCCTATCACAGCCTTGGCGATTTTGAGAGGGCCATCCAGTACTATGAGCGTCACCTAAAAAATGCTAAAAGCGTGGGAGACAAAGCTGGAGAGGGAGGGGCTTATGGAAATCTTGGCAATGCCTATCACAGCCTTGGCGATTTCGAGAGGGCCATCCAGTATCATGAGCGTTACCTAAAAAATGCTAAAGAAGTTGGAGACAAAGGTGGAGAGGGACAGGCCCATGGAAGTCTTGGCAATGCCTATCACAGCCTTGGAGATTTTGAGAGGGCCATCCAGTACCATGAGAGTCACCTAGAAAATGCTAAAGAAGTGGGAGACAAAGCTGGAGAGGGACAGGCCCATGGAAATCTTGGCAATGCCTATCACAGCCTTGGCGATTTTGAGAGGGCCATCCAGTACCATGAGCGTCACCTAAAAAATGCTAAAGAAGTGGGAGACAAAGCTGGAGAGGGAC